CCCATTCCCTAACCCTAACCTTTATAAGAAGCCTTACCCTAAACCGTCCCCTAATACTAACCCGTACACTAACACTAACCCATACCCTAAAACGTATGCTAAACCTAAACCATTTTCATACCCTAATCTGTATCCTAAACAGTCCCTGTTCCCTAACCCTAACCCTAACCCTAACCTTAAACCTAACCCTTACCCAAAGCCTTACCCTAACCTGTCCTCTAATCCTAACCCATACATTAACACTAACACATGCCCTAACACGTATGCTAACCCTAAAACGTTGTCGTACCCTAACCTGTCCCCTAAACCATCCCCGTTCACTAACACTAAACTTATCCCTAACCCTAACACTTAACCGAAGCCTTACCCTCACCCGCCCCCTAATCCTAACCCATATACTAACAATAACCCGTACCCTAACACGTACCCTCAATCTAAACCGTTGTTGTGCCCTAACCTGTATCCTAAACCATCCCCGTTCCCTAACCCTAACCCTAACCCTGACCCTAACCCTAACCCTTACCAGAAACCTTACCCTAACACATCCCCTAATCCTAAACCATACACTAACACTAACCCATACCCTAACACATACGCTAACCCTAAACCGTTGTTGTACACTAACCTGTACCCTAAACAGTCCCCATTCCCAAACCGTACACCTAACCCAAACCCTAACCCTTAATCGAAGCCTTACCGTATACTGCCCACTAATCCTAACCGGTACAGTAACACTAAACCATACCCTAACACGTACACTAACCCTAAACCGTTGTCGTACACTAAAGTGTACCCTAAACCGTCCTGGTTCCCTAACCCAAATCCTAAACCTAACCCTAACCTTAACCATTACCCAAAGCCTTACCCTCAACCGTCCCCTAATACTAACCCGTACACTAACACTAACCCGTACCCTAACACGTATGCTAACCCTCAACCGTTGTCATACCCTAACCTGTATGCTAAACTGTCCCCATTTCCTAACACTAACCCTAACCCTTACCCGAAGCCTTACCATAACCCGTAAGCTAATCCTAACCTGTACAGTAACTCTAACCCATATCCTAACACATACGCTAACCCTAAACTGCTGTCGTACATAAACCTGTACATAAACCGTACGCATTCCCTAACCCTGACTCTAACCCTAACCCTAACCCTAACCCTTACATGAAGCCTTACACTAACCAATACCCTAAGCCTAACCCATACACTAACACTAACACATACCCTAACACATACTCTAACCCTAAAACTTTGTCATACCCTAAACTGTACACTAAACTGTACCCATTCCCTAACACTAACCCTAACCCTAACCCTTCCCCTAACCCTTCTCAGAAGCCTTAACCGAACCCATAACCTATACCTAACCCGTACACTAACACTAACCCGTACTTTAACAAATATGCTAATGCTAAACCACTGTCGTACCCTAACCTGTATGCTAAACTGTACCTGTTCCCTAACGCTAACACTAAATCTAAACTTAACACTTACCCAAAGCCTTACACTAAGCTGTACCCTAATCTTAACCCGTATACTATCACTAACCCATACCCTAACATGTACGTTAAACCTAAACCATTGTCGTACACTAAAGTATACGCTAAACCGTACCCGTTCCAAAACCTTAACCATAACCATAACCCTAACACTTACCCAAAGCCTTACACTAACCTGTAACATATTCCTAACCTGTACACTAACAGTAACACTGACCCTAAAATTACTCTAAACATAAACCATTGTCATACCCTAAACTGTATCCTGAACTGTACTCGAAACCTAACACTAACCCTAACCCTTACCCGAAGCCTTACCCTAACCCGTACCCTAATCCTAACCTGTACACTAACACTAACCCATACCCTAACACATACGCTAACCCTAAATCTTTGTCATACCCAAACCTGAACCCTAAACCGTACCCATTCGCTAACCATAACCCTAACCCTAAACCTTACCCGAAGCCTTAACCTAACGCGTACACTAATCCTACACCATACCTTAACACGTACTGTAACCCTAATCAGTTGTCGTACCCAAAACTGTACCCTACACCTTATCCGTGCCCTAACACTATCCCTAGCCCTTACCCGAAGCCTTACCCTAACCCGTACCCTAATCCTAACCTGTACACTAACACTAACCCTTACCCTAACACATACGTTAACCCTAAACTGTTGTCGTACCCTAACTGTACCCTACACCTTACCCATGCCCTAACCCTAACCCTAACCCCAACCATAAACCTAACCCTATCCCTAACCCTTACCCGAAGTCTTACCCTAACCCATACCCTAATCCCAACCCGTACACTAACACTAACCCTTACCCTAACTCATATGTTAACCCTAAACCATTGTTGTACCCTAACCTGTACCCTAAACCATACCCATTCCCTAACCCTAACCATAACCCTAAAACTTACCCGAAGCCTTACACTCACCAGTAGCCTAATCCTAAGCCATACACTAACACTAAGCCATAGCCTAACACGTACGCTAACCCAAAACCATTGTCGTATCCTAACCTGTAACCTAAACCGTACCCATTCCCTAACTCTAACCCTAACCCTAACCCTAACACTTACCCAAAGCCTCACCCTAACACGTCCCCTAATCCTAACCCATACACTAACACTAAACCGTACCCTAACACGTTCGCTAACCCTAAACCGTTTTCGTACACAAACCTGTACTCTAAACCGTACTCATTCTCTAACCCTAACTCTCTCCCTTACCCGAAACCTTACCCTAACCCTAATCCGAACCTCTATACTGACACTAACCCTTACTGTAACATGTATGCTAAAACTAAACTGTTGTCATACCCTAAACTGTACGCTAAACCGTGCCCTTTCCTTAACCATAACACTAACCCAAACCCTAAACCTTACCCGAAGCCTTATCCTAACCCGTACCTTAAACCTAACCCATACACTAACTCTAACACATACCCTAACACGTACGCTAACCCTAAAATGTTGTCATACCCTAACCTGTACCCTAAACCGTACCCATTCCCTAACCCTAACCCTAAAACTAACACTTACCCGAAGCCTTACCGTAACCCGTAGCCTAATGCTAAAGTGTACCCTAACACGTACTGTAACCCTAAACCGTTGTCGTACCCTAAACTGTACCATACACTATACCCTTTCCCTAAACCTAACCCTAACTCTAAACCTAACCCTTACCCGAAACCTTACCCTAATCCGTACCCTAATCCTAACCCGTAGACTAACACTAACACTTACCATAATACGTACTCTAACCCTAAACCGTTGTCGTACACTAACCTGTATCCTAATCTGTATATGTCCCCTAACCCTAACCCTAACCCTAAACCTAACACTTAAACGAAGCCTTACCCTAACCCATACCCTAATCCTAACACATACACTAACACTAAACCACAGCCTAACACATATGCTAACCCTAAACTGTTGTCGTACACAAAACTGTACTCTAAACCATACCCGTTCCCTAATGCTAACCCAAACCCTAACCCTAACCCTAACCCTTACCCAAAGCCTTACCCTCACCCGTATCCTAATCCTAACCTGTACACTAACACTAATCCACACCATAACACGTACGCTAACCCTAAACCGTTGTCCTACCCTAAACTGTACCATAAACTGTACACATTCCCTAACCCTAACCCTAAACCTAAACCTTTCCCGAATCCTTACACTAACCCGTACCCTAATCCTAACTCGTACACTAACACTAACCCATACCCTAAAATGTAGGCTAAACCTAAACCGTTGTCGTACCCTAACCTGTACCCTAAACGGTACATGTTCCCTAGACCTAACACTAAACCTAACACTAACCCTTACCCGAAAACTTACCCAACCCGTACCCTAAACGTAACCTATACACTAACACTAACCCGTACTCTAACACGTATGCTAACCCTAAATCGTTGTCGTACCATACGCTGTACCCTAAAGCATACCCGTTCCCTAACCCTTACCCTAACCCTTAACCGAAGCCTTACCCTAAACCATACCCTAATCCTGACCCGTACACTAACACCAACCCATACCCTAACACATACGCTAACACTAAACCTTTGTCGTACCCTGAACTCTACCCAAAACCATACCCGTTTCCTAACCCTATCCCTAACACTTACCCACAGCTTTACCCTAACCCGTACCCTAATCCTAACCCGAACACTAACACTAAACCGTACCCTAACATGTACGCTAATCCTAAACCGTTGTCATACCCTAAGCTGTACCCTAAACCGTACCCTTTCCCTAATGCTAACCCTAACCCTAAACCTTACCCGAAGCCTTAACCTAACCCGTATCCTAATCCTAACCCGTATACTAACACTAACCCATACCCTAAAACGTACGCCAACCCTAAACTGTTGTCGTTCACTAAACTATACCCTAAACCGTACCCGTTCCCTAACCCTAACCCTAACGCTAACACTAACCCTTACCCGAAGCCATACCCTAATCCTAAACTGTACACTAACACTAACCCATACCCTAAAACATAGGCTAAACCTAAACAGTTTTCGTACCCTAAACTGTACCCGAAACAGGACCCATTCCCTAACCTTAACCCTAACCCTAACACTTACCCAAAGCCTTACACTAAGCCATACCCTAATCCTAATGCTTCCACTAACACTAACCCATACCCTTACACATACGCTAACCCTATACCATCCTCATACACTAACCTGTATCCTTAACCGTACCTGTTCCCTAACCATAATCCTAAACCTAAACCTAACACTTACCTGAAGCCTTACACTAAGCCGTACCCTAATCCTAACCCGTACACTAACAATAACCCATACCCTTACACGTACGCTAACCCTAAACCGTTTTCGTACACTAACCTGTACCCTAAACCGTACCTGTTCCCTAACCCTAACCCTAACACTGACCCGAAGCATTACACAAACCCATACCCTGTTCCTAACCCATACACTAACACTAACCCATACCCTAACACGTATGCTAACCCTAAACCGTTGTCGTACTCTTAACTGTACCCTAAACCGTACCCATTCCCTAAACCTAATCCTAACCCTAACCCTTACTCGAAGCCTTACCCTAACCCATACCCTAATCCTAACCCATACACTAACACTAATCCGTACCCTAACACGTACGCTAAACCTAAACCGTTGTCATACCCTAACCTGTACCCTAAACCATACCCGTTCCCTAACCCTTACCCTAACCCTTACCCGAAGCCTTACCCTAACCTGTACCCTAATCCTAACGCGTAAATTAACACTAACCCATATCCTAACTCATACGCTAACCCTAAACCATTGTCGTACCATAACCTCTACCCTAATCCATAAGCGTTCCCTAACCCTAACCCTAACACTTACCCAAAGCCTAACCCTAACCTGTACCCTAATCCTAACCCGTACACTAACACTAAACTGTACACTAACATGTACACTAAACCCAAATCGTTGTCATTCCCTAACCTGTACCCTAAACCGTACCTGTTTCCTAACCCTAACCCTAACCCTAACCCTACCACTTACCTGAAGCCTTACCCTAACCCATACCCTAAACCTAACATGTACACTAACACTAACCAGTACCCTAACATGTACGCTAACCATAAACCATTGTTGTACCCTAACCTGTACCCTCTACCGTACCCGTTCCCTAACCCTAACCCTAAACCTAACACTTAACCAAAGCCTTACCCTAAACCTGACCCAAATCCTAACACGTACACTAACATTAACACTTACCCTAACACGTATGTTAACCCTAAACTATTGTCGTACACTAACCTGTACCCTAAACAGTATCCGTTCCTTAACCCTAACCCTAACAGTTACCTGAAGCCTTACCCTAACCCATACCCTAATCCTAACACGTACACTAACACTAACCCATACCCTAACACATACGCAAAACCTAAACTGTTGTCACACCCTGACCTGTACTCTAAACCGTACCCATTCCTTAACCCTCACTGTAACCCTAACACTAACACTAATCCTTAACAGAAGCCTTTCCCTAAGCCGTACCCTAATCGTAACCCGTACACTAACACTAAACCGTACCCTAACACATACGCTAAACCCAAACCGTTGTCGTACACTTACCTGTACCATAAACCGTACCCATTCCCTAACCCTAACCCTAACCCTTACCCAAAGCCTTACCCTAATCTGTTCCCTAAACCTAACCTGTACACTAAAACTAACCCTTACGCTAACACATGCACTAACCCTAAACAGTTGTCGTACCCTAACCTGTACCCGAAACTGTACCCATTCCCTAGCCCTAACCCTAAACCTAACACTTATGTGAAGCCTTACACTAAGCCGTACCCTAATCCTAAACTGTACACTAACAAAAACACTTACCCTAACACATACACTAACCCTAAACCGTTGTAGTACACTAACATGTACCCTAAACAGTACCTGTTCCCTAACCTTAACCGAAACCCTAACCCTAACCTTAACTCTTACACGAAGCATTCCCCTAACCCGTACCCTATTCCTATCCCCTACACTAAAACTAACCCATACCCTAACACGTATGCTAACCCTAAACCGTTGTCATACCCTAAACTGTACCCTAAAGTGTACCCGTTCCCTAACCCTAAACCTAAGCCTAACCCTAACACTAACCCTTACCCGAACACTTTCCCTAACATGTACCCTAAACCTAACCCGTACAATACCACTAACCTGTACCCTAACATGAATGCTAAACCTAAACCATTGTCATACTCTAACCTGTACCCCAAACTGTACCCGTTCCATAACACTAACCCTAAACCTAACCCTTACCCAAAGCCTTACCCTAAGCTGTACCCTAGTCCTAACCCTTACACTAACACTAACCCGTACCCTAAAACGAACACTAACCCTAAACCGTTGTCATACCCTAACCTGTACCCTAAACCGTCCCCGTTCCCTAACACTAACCCTAACCTTAACCCTAAACCTAACTGTTACCCGAAGCCTTACGCTAACCGTCCCCTAATCCTAACACGTACCCTAACACTAAAGCGTACCCTAACACATACACTAAACCTAAACCATTGTTGTACCCTACCCTAAACAGTAAACCATACCCTAACCCTAATACTAACCCTTACCCAAAGCCTTACCCTAATCTGTACCCTAATCCTAACCCGTACACTAACACTAACCCGTACCCTAACACATATGCTAACCCTAAAATGTTGTCGTACCCTAACATGTACCCTAAACTGTACTCGTTCCCTAACGCTTACCCTTACCCTAAACCTAACCTGAACCCTTACCCAAAGCCTTACCCTAACCTGTACCCTAATCCTAACCCGTACACTAACACTAACCCATACACTAACACATACGCTAAACATAAACCGTTGTCATACCCTAAACTCTACACTAAACCGTACCCATTCCCTAACCCTAATCCTAACCCTAAACCTTACCCGAAGCCTTACACTAACCCGTACTCTAGTCCTAAGCCATACACTAACACTAAACCGTACCCTAAAACATATGCTAACCCTAAACCGTTGTCGAACCCTAACCTGTACCCACAACCATACTCGCTCCCTAACCCTAACCCTAACCCTACCTCTTACCCAAAGCCTTACCCTAACCCATACCCTAATCCTAAACAGTACACTAACACTAACCCATACCCTAACACATACACTAACACTAAACCCTTGTCGTACATTAACCTGTACCCTAAACCGTACCTGTTCCCTAACCGTAACCCTTACCTGAAGCCTTACCCTAATCCGTACCCTAATCCTAACCCGTACACTAACACTAATCCATACCCTGACACGTACGCTAACCGAAAAACTTTGTCGTACCCTAAACTGTACCCTAAACCGTACCCGTTCCATAAACC